GAAGATAGTAGGAATTCACATACCCCATGCCCCATAATCCTGTTTTCATACCTACCCCCACTTATTTCTCTTTGTTTAATCTTTCTAGAGATTTTTTGCAGATATTAATATGAATATCTGTACTTTTCAACTGATCAAATCAAATGGTAAAATTCTCTAAATGGTAAATATACACAATTTCCCCCTTCGTGTGTTTTTCTTTTACTACTTTTCTTAGAGATCTTTCTACTTGAGAAAATAACTTCCCTTTTTTGTTTGTTTGTTTGTTTGTTTTGGTACCGGGATCCAATGAGGGACCTTGTGCTTGCAAGGCAGGTGGCAGAACCACTGAGCTAAATCCCCAGCCCCCAAAAGTCTTAACTAATTAATCAATTAAATTGTTTATCATTGTTCCCTATTACAAATAATGCTGCAAGGAAAAATAACGTGTTTACGAGTTTACGTGTGTACAAGTGCACCTGTGAGATAAATCCCTGGTGCAGAATGTACGGGGTCAATAGATAGGCGTCCTTTCCTGTGCTCCCTAGGGATCGAAGCTGTCATTCACTGGGAGAGGACACTGATGCCTCCTCTTGCCCTCCTCCCCCACCTGAGCTCTCAGGTCCAGATACTGTGCTGGGAATGTGGGGAAGGGGTGGGGTGTCCAGTCGTTGAACACCCCCATCCTGTTCCCCGACGCCCCTGACCACAGGCAGGTTCTGTACAAAACAGCTCCGCCCGGGGAGTAGCCAGCCCATTGTAACCTCAGCTCTGCTGCTGTGGTCAGGGAGGCTGGAGAGGAGCCCCCGTAAAGCCCTGCTTTGACTCAGCCCACAGGTGGGGCCCCACAGGGGCTCCAGGACAGGGGAAACCCAGAGACCTCAAGCCCATCCATCTCCCCAGAAGGAGACCCCTCCTCCTCTCCTCACTTCTTTCCCCTTCTCTCCTCTTTGGGGACCCATGCACCCTGCCCCCCCAACCCTTATCTTTTCTCCCTCCTTCTTTCTCCTTCCTATTTAAAAATTCTATTATGCTGGACGTGGTGGCTCACGCCTGTAATCCCTGCACTCAGGAGGCTGAGACAGGAGGATCGCTGTGAGTTCGAGACCAGCCTGGGCTACATAGTGAGCTCCAGGTCAGTCTCAACTACATAGTGAGACCCTGTCTCAGAAACCCCCCCCCAAAAAATAAATAATAAATAATAATAATAATAATAATAATTCTATTACATCTCTCTGTGTCTTTTCTCTGCTTTACTTCTTCATGTTTTTTTTTGTTTTACTTCCTTTTCCCGTCTGATCCTAACTTCTACTTCAACCCCCTCCTTTGGCAGAAAGAAACCTAAGTCCCAGGTGCAAGCCAAGGTCACACAGTGAGCAGGAAGTGAGCTGGCCTCTGGGTGGATCTGCTGCCTTGCTCCTCTCCCACCCCAGCACCATCATTAAGTGTCTTCTCCCCACTGACCCCAGTGGGCTCCACCTAATCCCATTTCTCTTTCCTTGAGGGTCTTCTTCAGTCTTCCCTTCTCTCCTCAGGATTCAGTTGTGCCTTCAATACACGCCTCATTGCCCCCTGTTGTGGCGTGCGTTTTGCTTTGTTATGACTCTTGTAAGTCTAAGTAAAATTATTTTTCTGGTACCATGTACTGTACCCATACTGAACACATACTAGGCCAGAGTTCTACCACTGAGCTACACCCCAGCCCATAAATTGGCATTTTAATGATGAACATAACTGTGCTTTGACAACACTAACTCCATTTTGAGCTTTCTCTTGTAACACAAGCTGTAACTGACAGTCACCAAGAACAACTGGCTGACCCATAGCTACATTGAAAACTGTATGCCAATATGTAAATAAGAGTGAGGTCTGGGACCTTCCTCTACAAAAGCTGACATCTGAAAGCTGAGCTGACACATCTGTAACTATTAATACCAGTACCTTCAGACTGCTGCTTGAAACATATCTTGCTGTGACCCCGCTCTTTGCAGATATCCACGCTGAAAAGGCAGTGACCACTGGAGGCCTGGCCTGAGAGCACAGTGCTTTAGCTTCATTGTTGTCAGCTTGATGGCATTCCAGAGGGTAAAAGTGCCACCAGGATCATTCGGACAATTTTTTCCATGGATGCATAGTGTTTGGTTTGTTACTAGCACTGTGCTGGATTCATTTTCTATCTACTCTTGCCTATATTTTCATATATCCCTTTTACTTATTTTTGCTTACCCTGCTTTTCTATACATTATAATAAATCAATTCACTTGGAAACTTCGCCTCACTTGGCTTGTCCTTCAATTAAAGGATAAAAGCACTTGTCCTTCTTGGAGGAAATGTAACCCTTGAGGTAAACTTGTCGCTCAGTAATGGGGAGCCAGGCCACCCTGGATGTGCCACTGATTGATACCCCTCAGATGCAGAGATACAAGAGCCTCTCCCCAGCCATCCACACCTCCCAGGCCATGTAGGGTCCCCTCTGGTGCCCACTCAACATCACAAGGCAGGAAAAGTCCCCTGGGAGTGCAAGGTCTGTGGCCAAGGCACTGACCGGGAAGGAGCCTGAGCTGAGGACAAACCCTTGACAGCAAGGATGGCAGCTGGGGGTGATGGGGGAGGACCTACCTTCATATAACCCTGGCACATGGCAGGCGCCAAGGATCGTACTCACACGTCCTCATCTTCCCCTCCCTGGGGCCCCTTTCTTGGAAACCCAATGAAACATGGGGTCTGTGAAACTAGAGGGAGCAGCAAGAGAAATGCAGGAAGGTCTGAGCCTTTCTCAAGACTAGACATCATCCTGGATGTCCAGATCAGAGCCTTCTTCCTAAGAGGTCGGGACCATGTGGCCTGAGTTTGAAAGGAGAGGAGACAGGAGGGCCCCAGGGCCCTGGTACTCACAGGTGTGTACACAGCAGCCCTTCCTCTGGTGGCAGCCACAGCCTTTGTGCACCGATCTGGAGGCTGCAGAGGAGGAAGTGACACACCCTGGGGTGGGGGAATCTTGGGGGTGGCTGATCTAAGAGAAGGTGGAGCAGATAGGGGAGGGGCTGGGCCACCACCAGTGGATGATACAGGGATCTGGATCTACTGAGCCCTTGTCCTGTGCTGCACTATCATGTTACATTTAGGGGTCACAACCACCTCGGCAGACAGATGTTAGCCCCTCCCCCAGCCCCATTTTATAGATTTATAGATTGAGGCTTGGAAGCAAGGAGTAAAGAACTTTGCCCAGGGTCACACAGCTAGCAAGTGGCTGGTCTAGGATTTGCATGCAAGTCTGCCTCTCTCCAAAATTGATCTCCCACTTCATCTAGGAAGACCAGAATAGGAAGCAGTGTGCAGGCAGTAAGTGCTATAGAGGGGGAAGTTAGAGATTTTTGTTCATCCTGAAAACACAGTGGCCACTGATTGTATCATAGTGTGCTTCACTGCATGGGCTCTGGAGCCAAAATGAACAAGTGCAATCCCGGCTCTCTTTTATGAGTAAGCAGTCAGGCCCTTAGCCAAGTGCTGTGACCTTTCTTGTGGCTGCTGTGGTAAGAATTAAGTGAGCTATCCGTTGCTCACCAGAGTACCTGGTGTCTTCCTAAGAGAATCAGCAGGAATGGCAAGTGATACAGGAGGAGAGGAGAGGTGTGGGGAAAGTTGGAGGAGGGGCGCAGGGCCAGGCTTCGAGGATGACATGAGAGCCAAAGAACAAGAGAGTAGTGTGAGCCTCAGAAATGTGGAGGAGAAAGGAGCAGCGTGCAGGGATGGATGCTCAAATGGAGGCAGGATGAAGACCGAGGAGCAGATTGTGGAAAATACATACGGGATTTGTCTCAACCACGCCTGGCCTCAGGGAGCTTGAGACAAGGGACCTGGACACAAGTCTGTCCCCTACCAGAAGGGGCACTCCTAGGGGTTACTGGCTATGAGGTTCCCTGCTGCGGCCTCAGCACACAGCAAAGGGCCCATCTCACAGCAGGTGCTCAGCACATGTCACATGGATCCTGAAAGTGTAACAGCTGGGAGGTGCTGGTCTCTGGCTGGCCCCCAGCCAATGGGACACCCAGGACCTTTTACCCTTCCCCCACAACTAAGGTTGTTACCATGGCAATGACCCTCTTTCCCCACAGGCCCTGTGGTTTCCTCTTAATCTTCTTTCACTTTCTTCTGCTTTCCTTCATTCTGCTCTGCTCTCCTCTCCTCCATTCTCAGCCTCTTTCCTACATGCACAGATCAGCAGTGAATATAAGTCAGGGATGATAACAGATGTGGTGGTGAACACCTGTTAACTCCAGGTCTTGAGAGGCGGAGGCAAGAGGATCACTTGAGAGTTTAAGGCCAGCCTGGACTACATAGTGAGTTCAATACCAGCCTGAGCTAGAGTGAGACCCTGTCTCAAAGAAAAAAGGAAAAAAAAAAAAAAGCAAGCTGGGGACAAGGTAGACAGAGACAAATCACTGTCCCAGAGAAGGCAGGATGGGGAGCAGCAGAGTCCCAGGGGCCTGGAAAAGGGCACTACAAGGTGAGGAGGGAGAGATGCTAGGAGGTCACTGCGGGTCCCTGGGAATGAGTGAAGGAGATTGCGAGATGTAGGGGTGGAAGCAGCAAGCTGTAGGGTACAGAGGGTCCCAAAGGGTGAGTGCTCATTGAGGCTGGTATCACACAGAAATGCTGTAGTTTAGATGCAGGCTGTGGCTCTTCTCTTCCAGGGCCTGGGAACAACCATGCACACCGAATGAAGCTTGAGTGGAGCCTCTCCAGAGATGGGGAGATATGCACACCATGTAGCACAAGGCCCATGGGGTCCCACAGGACTCCACTGGTGGTTGGCCCTTGGGCTCCCCTCCTTCCCTCTGTACTCATCTTGTTTTCTGTACTCCCCTAAGAAAGCTGCAAAACCTGGCACATTAGGAGTTCTCCCTTCCCACCCAGCACCCTCTCCAGCTCAGCTGGCCACTTCCCTTACTACTCCTTCCCCTACTACACCTAGAGGGAGCCACATCCCATGAGTTTCCATCACTTTATTTTGCAAAAATAGAAAACTCAGCAATACGCAGACGCGATACAGAGGGACGGAGGGGAGATGTAAACAGAGGGGCGGGGACAGCACCCTGACCCCCCAGAGAAAAAGGGGAGCCAGCGGGAATCTTATTTGGCAGCTAAATACAAACTGGGGATTGGAGGAAGGAGGGGTCACAGAGGTCCTGGGGCCCCCCTGCCAAGACCCCTAGAGAAAGGGTCATTCCAGGGTGTAAACAAAAGCTAATAAATAAATAGAGGCTTCCTCTGGGTCAGGGTGGGATCAGCTAAGCAGCAACTCCCCTCCTGGGCCAAGCTGCTCTGGGGGTTAAGGGTGGAAGGCACTAGGAGAAGAGGGATCCTTGGCCCTTCTGTAGTGTAGAGGGTCCCTGCCCAATGGCTGAGATGGGGGTCAGGAGGAGCCCAAGGCACTTGACAATGCTGGGGGAGGGGCTTATAACGGAAGGTATGGGTAAACACTGCACCCCAGCAAAGAGGTGCAGAATGGACCTGCATCCTTTTCATTCTCAAGTGTCACTCCAGAAATGCAGGGCCCAGCCTGCCCCCCCACCTGGCGTGAGAACTGGGCACAAGGGCAGCGTGCACCAGTAGATGCATCACACAGCATTAGGCACCAAGGGCAGGGGCAAGAGGGTGGGCTCAGCCCACCTGGACCCCCGTTATGATCTCTAGTGTTCCTGTTTGCTCCCAGAGGCCCAAGCACCCAGCAGAGGAAGGGGCTATGGGATGACAGGGCCTTCCTCCTAGCCTGGGGAACCTGGGACCCTGGTATCTGAGGGGCAGTGATGAGATTTTATAGTTCATACCCAGGCTCACTCCTCTGTCCCTTCTCCTGATGGAAGCAGGGCAGGCTCCCAGGACAGGAGCAGAGCCATCAGAGCAGGAAGGGATGAACATGGAGGCACCAGCCCCCCAGAAACTTTGGCAAAACAAGGAGCTTGTTGGAAGGGTGGTGAGAAGGCAGAACAGGTCCTCCCCCAGTCACTGGTGGTGTCCAGGAGATGGTCAGTCTGCTGCCGGAAGCCCAACCCCACACAGAGGAGGTCAGGGGCCCTAGTCAGGCTGGGGGCTCCGGCTTCCTTTGCTCTGGCTCCTGGGGGCCTCATCTTCACTGGAGGCCTTGGGGTGGGAGCCAGGCTGTGAGGAGTCGTCCTCAAACATTTCAGGATTTTCCAGCATTTCTCGGATTAGCGGGGGCATTGGGCCTGGAATCTCCATCTTCAAAGTAATGGCCCTTTCTGCACCTACAACAGAGAGGCAAAGAGTCTAGGGAGGGCAGAAGCACATGGCCCTTCAGACCAGCTCCCTAACTTCTTTTGAGGGGCGGGTACCAGGGATCAAACTCAGAACCTTGGGCTTGCGAGGAACATGGTGCCACTGAGCTAAATCTGCATTCCCTTTTTAACCCCCCTTTCACACTAAGCTATATGCTCAGCCCTCCTTATTTGTTCCTTTATTCATCTGTCTGAGACAGGGTCTCACTATGTAGCCCAGGCTGGCCGTGAACTTGAATGAGTAATCCTCTTGCCTCAGTCTCCTGACTGCTGAGATTACAGGCACATGCCACCATGTCCTGCTATAGCTGAACTTTTAATTCACTTTGTTTTTTCTTGTGAACCTGGAGATTGAACTCAGGACCTCACACATGCTAGGCAAATACTCTGCCAGCCCTTTTTATTTTGGGGGACAGGGTCTCACTAAGTCAATAAATTGCCAAGACTGAACTTAAACTTTCATTTCTCGTGCCTCAACCTTTCATTTCAGGGTGCTAGGATTACAAGCATGCACTATGATACCCTGCTCCTTTTATTTTTAGATTCTTCTTCGTCTTCTTCTTTTTTTTTTTGGTATTGGGGATTGTGCTCGGGACCTTGTACTTGCGAGGCAGGTGGCAGAGCCACTGAGCTAAATCCCTGGCCCTGTGCTCCTTTTATTTTTTATTTTGAGACAAGGTCTTGCTAAATTTCCCAGGCTGGCCTTATACTTTTGATCCTCTTGCCTCAGCCTCCCAAGTAACTGGGATTATAGGCACAAACCAAAACACTTGGCTTTAATTCACATTTATTCTCCTTTTTCTTTTGCAGTAATAGGGATCGAACCCAGGACCTGTACGCTACACTAAGTCCCCAACTCTTTTTTGTTTTTTGTTTTTTATTTTTAAGGCAGGGTCCTGCTAAAGTCCCCAGGCTGGGCTTGAAATTTTTGATCCTTCCAGAATGCTGGAATTACAGTCATGCACTACCATGGGTGGCTAATTCACATTTCTAAGCATATTGTATTTGGAGTAATTTAGTCCTCACAATTAGTATACAGGACAAGAATAAGCAGAATCCAGTTTACAAACAGGAAAATGAGATATAAAATAGTAGGGGAGGTGCTTAGATGCACAAGGTCCTGGATTCAATACCTCACAGTGTCCAAAAAAAGAAAGGAACTTTCCAAAGTCTCCCCACTAGGAGGAGGCCAAACTAGATCTCTGATGTAGGTTACCTGGTTCTCAGTCACATTGTTCCTGTCTCTGCTTATCCACCTATGTGGCCCAGGAGACCTGCAGCCCTGGAAAGACAGTGAAGGCTCACTCGTGACTAACCCTTGGTGCTGATGCCTCGGAGGTCGGTGATCTTCATGAGCATCCTTGGGAACATGTAGGGCTGGCTGGGCCGTCGGCGCCGGGCGTATAGCCTCAAGGCTTCCAGCAGTGGCTCCTGAAGCTTGTCCACCTTCTCAGGTTCCTCCAGGTCCATGCGGTCTATGGGCACAAGCACAGTGGTATGAGAGGGGCAGGACACAGTGACAGGTGGCTGATCCCCAATGGTACCTGTCCTATGACCCCAAGGCCCCAAAATGTCCCTTCAGCCCCTTCTCTATTGTCCCTGAGCCCCATCAGGCTATATCTTCTACTCTAAACCCTGTACCTTCTCCCATTCAACGAGGAGCTTTCTCTAATAAATCACTCCTATCTCAGCACAGTACCTAGCATCTCAACTCCCCTGGGCTCTGCTCCCCCTTTTTTTTTTTTAGTCCTCTGTTCTAGGCTGCTGGGAAGTCTACAGAGGATCTGAGAAGTCTGTGGCTGGGGCTTGGTGCAACAATCCCAGGACACAAGACCAAGGTCCCCCACCTGGTCAGAGATCAGGTGTGGAATATGATGGGAAAGGAACCCAAACAGACGCTAGGGGGCACCCTCGCACCTCCACAGATGAGGCAGATGGCACTGAGCAGCCCCGTCTCTGTGTCATCCATCTCCAGTGGCAACAGCTGCTCAGCAAAGGCAAACACGAGGTCTGTGAGAGGCCCGAAGCCAGCATTATGCATCTGGGTCCGGTTCAGGGTGAGCCCATCGGAGAATGTCATGGTGTCCTGCTCTGGGGTGTACCTTGTGCAGATCCGTAGCATCTGGGGGTACAGGGAGAAGGTTAGTGCTGTCTCTGGGAGGAGCTCATAAAGGGAGGGGAAAAAGAGGGAATAAAAGGCTAGTGAGGAACTTAGGTCCCAATATTGCAACCTGAAGCAGGCATGGAGAGGAAGGCAGAGAGGCACAAGATCCGGAGGTGGGGGCAGAAACCAGAGCAAGGCAAGGGGTCCAGAAGCCTAGAATCAGGACGGCTGTGATGCTGCACACCTCCCAGCACTCTGGGAGGCTGAGGTAGGAGGATCAAAATTTCAAGCCCAGCCTAGGCAACTTAGCCACTTATCAAGACCCTGTCTCAAAAATAAAAACTATAAAAAGATGTGAGAATGTAGCTGCTCAGTGCAAAGGCCCTAGGTTCAATCTTCAATACCACACATATGTGCGTGCACATTCACACACACACAAAGTCTAGGAAAAGGATCTGGGGGCAAGGGCTAAAACAGAAAACCTTGGGTAGAGATGTGGGAAGACTTCAGGAGGCTGAAAGATTTTGGGGAAGGAGTTACATATGAAGACCAGGCTGTGGCAGAACCCATGGGACCTAAATTACCAGGATGTCCAGGCAGGCAGCCTTGAGAAGAGTGATTTGGTCAGCGATGCTGAGCCCTGTAAAACCAGGCAACCGCTTGGCAAACTCCACAATTTTGATGATGCACTTGGTGGCCAGCTCACTGAATTTGTCCCACAGCCCCAGATCCAGCTGTACACGGTGGTCTGCACTGGAGTTCTGCAGGGAAGAAGGACCTAAGGTTAGAATACAAAAGAAGGCCATCGAGCTCTCCACTCTGCCAACACCTCAGGCTCTCCTCTCCTTCCTTGTCCTCAGCACCAGATCAGAGCCTCCAACACAGCCCTCACCCAGCCCCAAAGGGCACAGTCCTCTGCCCTCAGTGGGTCTCTGCTCATTCCTCACCGTGGTGTACTTGCCCAGCTGGCAGAGCGAGGGGAAGGTCTCCTGATGGGCTTTGCTGACCTTGGTGATAAGCTCTTCTAACTGTGGGCTCAGCTCATAGCTGTCCGGTGACCCTTCTTCCTTCACCTCTTTCTTCTTCTTGTTCCTGTCATTCCGCACAGCTTAGGGGTGGAGGCACAAGGAGAAGGTTAAGAGCCTCAGAGCCTCCCTTGTGATGTCCTCCCTCTCCCTAACTTAATGTGCTCAGTCTGCCATGAATATCTAGTCCCTCACACCAGAGCACCAGCTCTCAAAGGACAGTGCCTCAGTTCCCCTATCTCTTGCTTTAGGTCCTATTCCCAGGCTGGCTCTCCCCAGCCCCACCCAGGGCTTGCAGCCCCTGCTCCCTCCCCAGGCCATTCGGCTCCATCCTGCCCTTCCTGTCACCCTGCAGGAGCTGGGGAGAGGGGGGCAGGATATGCAGGGGCAGGATATCCACTTATAGCCTTGGCAGCACAATGGGGGGGGATGGAAAGGAGAGGCCACCCCATAGCCATCTCTGGCTGAGCAAAGGGAACAGGGGAGGGGAGGGAACTGGCAAGCCCACCCTCTTCCCCAAGAAACAAGGGACTGTGAAACCCTAACCTCCTTTCACTCCTTCAGAGCAGTGGGTAGAATGAAAGGGTGGGGCCTCCTGGTTGAATGGAGCTAGTCAAATAGGCTGGTCTGGGAGGAGACAGCACCCCAGGGCAGGCTAGGTCTCAGAAGTCAGGGAACTAGGGGTAGACAGAGGGAAGACAGACAACCACAGGGTAGGAATGGAATGCTCTGCCCAGATCAGCTATAGGAGCCTACCTTCCTTGGACATGCCCACTTCAAAGCACTTTTGTAACCGGCAGTACTGGCAGCGATTCCTGGTCACCTTGTTGATGATACAGTTTTTATCTCGATGACACGTGTACACCATGTTCTTCTGGATGCTTCGTCGGAAGAAGCCCTGGAGTTGGGGGTAGGTGGAATGTCTTGAAGGATACTGGGAATACCAACCTTTCATGGGCCATACAGGTTGCCTCAGGCCTGACCGCATCTATTAATCACCTTAGGTGCCAGGGATCCCCTCCAGCTCCACACACAGCACCTGTGTTCCTGATCTCTGATCTTCCCCAGGTAACCCCGGGTCCCCAATCCACCCACCCCAGCATTACACACCTTGCAACCTTCACATGAGCTGACCCCATAGTGGTAACCAGAGGACTTGTCATTGCACACGAAGCATGGCTTGTAGACCCGAGGAGGTGGTGGGGGCGAAGGCGAGCTGGGAACCATCTCCTCTGAGCTCGGAACCATCTCCTCTGAGCTTGTGCTCTGTGTCTCCACCGCTGCAGGGGAAGCAGTGGTATGAGGGTCAGGAAAGCCCCTCACAAACCCCTTATCACATACCCCCACTTCTCCCTCTGGCCCACTGATGAAAGCCTCCACAGTACACCAGTCCTCAGTGGACAATCTCAGGAAGTCCCAGGCAGCCACTGTCATTGCAGCTCATTGGGACCCAAGCCTACCCCACAACTTTCCACAACAACACCAGCCCTAGCTCTGCATGGCACAGCGCACATCTCCAAATTCCAGACTCAAAGCCAATTTTTTTTTTTTTTTTTTTACCAGGGATTGAACTCGGGTTCTTGCGCTTGCAAGGCAGGCCACAAACCGCTGAGTTAAATCCCTGGCCCAAAGCCATTCTTAACTCCTGTAGGCCTCAGTTTCCCCTAAAAAGGGAATGTGGTAGAAGAGTTAGGGTCCAGCACTCTGAATGCTCAGCACTCCCTGTGACTCTGGTAGATAGATGCCTGTCAGTCTCCTACCAGGGATTGAACTCGGGTTCTTGCGCTTGCAAGGCAGGCCACAAACCGCTGAGTTAAATCCCTGGCCCAAAGCCATTCTTAACTCCTGTAGGCCTCAGTTTCCCCTAAAAAGGGAATGTGGTAGAAGAGTTAGGGTCCAGCACTCTGAATGCTCAGCACTCCCTGTGACTCTGGTAGATAGATGCCTGTCAGTCTCCTACCACCCTCCTCTTTGGGAAGGGTGAAACATATGTGGGGTGGATAGGGCAACTGTAGGCCACCTGAAGCTGGCATCTGCCTGAATGAAATACAGGGATGCTCACTAGGTAGAAGAGGACCTCATTTCTCTGAAGTGGCACAGGAGAAATAACCCATCATCTTTTCTTTCTCAAACGGTGCCCCCCCATAACCACCCAAATTTTTTTCTCCAGAAGCCACAGAAACAGTGTAGAACATGGGGCACAGGTTTTGGGAGAGGAAGCCAGAGGACAGGCACAGTCTAACTTCACACCTGAAGGAACTGAGGCCAAGGCAGGGGCCATGCCAGGCTCACTGCCACACTGCCAGGTGATGGTGGAGCCAAGGCCCTCAGGTTCTGTGACCAGACTTCAGTGGCTGAGGAAGACAAGGGCTGGGGAAGAGGGAGACTGATGTAATTGCTCAGGTTCTCAGGTCTAGCACCTGTTCAGGTGGTGGCAAACTGTAGAGTCAGGTGACAGTGGAGGAGGGGACCTAGTTCTGGACCCTCTGTGAGGCAGTCTTCACTTCTGAACTACCTCTGAAAAATACCTGACTTCAGTTCACAAGTATCTCAGGTAGGCCTGGGGGAGGAAAGAGCACAAACAACACATGCTGTGTACAGCAGGCTGCTAAGTAAATCCTATGTGAGCGTGGGACTGATTTTCAGAGGTTTCAGGGGTACATACATTTCAAGAAATCTCTAAAAGCCTCACCAATGAGTGTTCAAAAAGTGTACCTCAGTGATAGCTCCTCCCTTCTAATCCTCTGCAGCCCACCAGGTCACAAGCCCACCCTAAGGAAGCCAGAAGGACCCAAAGACTGCCCAGAGGTGAGGGTTCTAAGACAGCTCCACAGACCGCCACCAACCGCAACAGAGGGAAGCCCTCCCCAGCCCCCAGCACACACTTGCTCAATTAGCATAAGAATCCAGCTGGAGAAAGCTTCCCCTTTGAAAGGAGGAATGGGGAAAAGGGTTCGGGAGTCTATTCAAGACTGGAGGTGGGGGGCTCCAGAGGGGCTGGTGCTGAGAGACGTGGGAAGGGCTGGAATGCCTTTCAGGACCTCTCCTCGATTCTCAGGCCCACTCCAGGGCATCTGTGTCCTGCCCACAGGCCTAAGTGTGGGGTGGTGCTCTCTGCAGCACTGACGCCCTCCCTGCCCGCAGAGCGCTGCTTCATTTCCTCTCTTGCGCAAGGGCCTGGGTGCGGTCAGACTGGCATGGGGCAGCGCCAGCCAATTATAAGACTGGGGGCCCCAGGGAGACAGGCCCGGGGGCAGCTTTTCCCATCTGAAGTGGTACTGTCAAACCCTTCTTGACACCCCACTGGAACACCCCCGCACCCTGAACCCTAAATTGCAGCCCAGTGACTCTGCTCAATCCTTGGGTAGAAGGCACTGTAAAGCTAGTGGGGTCTACTCCAATCCCAGACCCAATACTCTCTTCAGCCCTGGGCAGAGACCCCATCGCAGTGACTCTGTGCCTGGGCTTAGCAGGGGCCCCTGTTGTGCAGGAGGGTGGGCTCTGGGAGTTTCTTTTAAAGCCCAAATTGCTGAAATTGAGGAAATTCCTGGCCAGGCTGAGCGGAGCTTCAAACAAACTCTTTATAACCGGCTGTAAACGCTCCCAGCTGCGAGGCCCAGACCTGAGCAGTCTGGACTCAGACTCAGTTTAGCACACGCCTCCTAGGAGACACACACACTCCCACAGGCCAGCATGCAGGGGGTACAGAAGCATTGATAACCCCATGCCGCCCTGGCAGAGAGGGACTCACAGGCGGGCATCCGGCACACTCACTTCAGCCAACCTAGGGCCGGAGGACAAGTCACAACGCTGACACAAAACACCCAGCATTCAGCTACCCCTTTACCAGCGAACAGCTTCAGCACCGGACAAACACCACAGCCTGCCAGCACAGCACCAGGTCACCAAATCCTCCAAGCAGGCATAAACACACCATCTTGCCCTCCTCTCTGAACACTTTCTCTTGGAAAGTGCGTGGGGGCAGGCCTGAAGCTGGCTGTGTGTGCCCACCAGGGTCCTAGAGGCCAAAATTACTGGTCCAAATTGAAGTGCGGGAAAAATACCCTGCCAATCAAGCCCAAGGGGTTTCCATGGGGCCTGAATAAGGACATGGTTCCTAACCAGCCTCCCCCAGAACACTTTTCGGAAAATTCTCTCCATTTTAGAACACTCCGCCCCCCCTCAAAAAAACACCCTAAACCAATTCCCCATCCTACAGAAATTTGGTGCAAAGCAATAGTTCCACGCTTCTCCACCCTTGAAATAGCACACTTTTACTTCTGGCCCCACCCCATCCCAAAGTATGGTCTCCTGTTTGCCACTTCCCTCTTCCAAGTCTACGAGTTGTTAAATCTGAGCAGCTCTGCCCTGAAACTAAAAGACCAGGAAAAAAAAAAAAAAAAC